GTATATTTTAAGAAATCAGAAGAACAGAAACAGATTTACTCTGCATCATGCTAATATAAGTCAAAGCATTCCTATACAACCAAGTTCAGAGAAGATTTAATAGCAGCCACTCAGCAATGAGGCTTGTTTCCTGAATTTGTCTATGGATATAGATAATTTAAAGGTGGCACAGTGGTTTAAACCACTGTGCTGCTGTGCTGGTTGATCGGAAAGTCGCCGGTGTTTAGTCATGCCGGCCACATGACCACGGAGACTGTCTGAGGACAAACGCTGGCTCCCTCAGCCAGGAAATGGAGATGAGCACTGCCCCCTAGAGTCAAGCGTGGCTGGACTTCACATCAAGGGGAATTATAATTTCCTAATAATTTCCTAATCCCCATGATTACATAATAGAATAAACTGGTTGCTTGCTCATGGCATCAACCTGTTTAATCTTTTGCTGCAAGACTCATATTGCATTAAAAATCCATTTCCATGTCAGTACAAGCTGAACTGCAATATCTCTTTCAAGTTTTACTTTGTGACATGTGATGGCTCCAACTTGTTTGAGCAGCATTAGAACCCTTAAAAATGCTCATAAAATAAACCAAGAAGAAATTGAGTTATAAAAACATCACTTTAGCAAGATGCACTACTGAGAACTACAGTACAATTTCAGTACAATTCACAAACATGAGATGTTGGTGGACTGACCTCCACATACATTTCAAGCATGTTAAAAAGCCTTATTAATGAAAACACCAACAATATCTTCAGTTGCAGAGACCGTCTTGTAAAGCGCTTGCTACATTCTCAGGCCTGAATATACTTTACTCTCACTGCTTGTGTGCAGAGCCCACTAGTGAGAACTCTGCCTGCTAAGTAATTTTGACTGCCTTCACATCAACAGGCAACAAAAGCTAGAAGAGACAAATCATAAGCACAGCAAAGGAGGAACTGCCAACTGCCTTTTGTTCTGTGCATAATTTCTCCTCTTATCCCTCTTCTTAGCACCTAACTTTCCCTGCTCTTCTACATCCCGATTGCTAAGAAAAGAAAAAGGCGAGATAAACAATGGGCTTATCTGCATGGCAGGATAGCCCAGTATGACTTGCTGCTTTTGACAAGTGGCTAGCCAGTGAGTGCAGCTGATAGTTGCCCCTGAGGTGCCCAAGTGGCACTTGGAAGCAATTATCAGAGGCTTTCCAATCTCCATCAGGTGTCAATAACCTGAGATTTGTGGTGACAACACACCATGGAGTCTGCTGCTGCTGGCTTTTGATGTCTGCTCTACAGCTGGCAGCAAGGGTTGCCATTACGCCCCCTGCTGCTGCACACAGTCCCAATGGTGGGAAGATTCAACCTGTGAAATCAGCAGCTCAAGAAGAGCCCTCTCCAGCCAGCAGCATGGTTAACAACTCCACTCTGCTGCCCCAAGCATGGGGTAATGACAAAGAGTGGAGTTGTCATCTATGCCCCAGGCTGGAAAGGCCTCCTTCTGAACTGGCAGTTGGGAAGGCTGGAAGTTGACACTGTTGTGCTTCAGGTGCAATGGGGTCTCTGAGAGGTCTCCATTCTTCCGCATGATTTTTGTTGGGATACTGCCAGGAACAGGGATAGAATGGAGCATCCACGATAAGCTTGATCATCTCTGAGACTCATTGTGGATTCTTGGGGGTTCTACCAACCCACTGTGGTAAATCAGTAGTAAATCTGCAAGTTCAGCCATGTTAACAACCCCAAAAAAGAACTTGGGGTTTCTGGTTGGGTTGTAAATGCTGGGTTTTAGAACATGAATGTGGTGGTTGTTACATGTGAACCCACGAACCATGGATTGTTTCATCAGGCTTAATTGAGCTAGTGGTAAAAAAGACTCCAGCTGGTCTACATGCCTGTAGTACAGTGGTGTTCAGGATACACAGAAGGAGCAAGTGAAGGAACAACCCAGGGATTGAAAAAACCCAAAAAACTAGTGGTTTGTTCAATTGGCTGCCAGAGATATCCTGTGAAAAGCAATAAATCCTACCCAACCATATGTTCTCTAGACTATGGGTTAATGTTACTGAAAACCATGTTTGCATGTCACACTAAGCCACTTTGTGGATATGCTTTGCAGTGAGGGTTCACTGAATCGGCCGGGATATATCTGACAACTTAACAGGCTCACTGTGGCTTGTTTCCTTGCTCCTTCCCCTTGTCCTCCAGCCAGGATCCCTGGTGGCCTTCATGGCAAAGCCCACCTTGTTTCCCTCCACCAGCAATGTTTGCTTCCCATTTTTGTTTGCTGCTATCTCCCCACCCCACTTCAACAAAGCACAATTAAAGCCACTTTTTAAAACTTTTTTCAGTTCCAGAAAATTGCACAATTATTTTTCTAAATTGTTGGTATTTTGCAAGTGTGCTCTTATGCTTGTCTGATATGTGTAGTCTTGCCTGTGGGTCTGTTGACAGTTTGGAAAGAAATGAAGAAATATATGCAAGATTTATGACCGGGAAGTAAATACTGATTCTGAAGGCATGCAAATTGAATCACAGAGGCCCAAATATCAGGAGGGAGGATACAGCAAAGATTTGGGATTAGAAGGCTGAGTGGGAGATGCCATGCCAGCTGAACCTTGCGAGTCCAGACCTTGAGTGGCCTCCAGCTCCTGTAAAAATTGCTTAGAAACAGGGTTTTTTCCCCCATTTGTGCCTTTTCCGCTCCTCATAGCACTGGGACCCAGGAATGCTATGGAGCAAGCCACAAGGGAGCAAGTCTCTCTCCCCCATTTCTCCCCCAAATCAGGCTGAATTTCTCATACTAATTTGAGTGGTTGTGGCAACTTATTGGCTAAAGGTAACTACCTTTATTATTGCAAGATGGATGCAATTTGGGATTATATGAATAAGATTGAATACTCAGCTAAACAACTCCCTCTGCAGGAATATTCAGTCTACTGTTTCTGAACAACTGGCCACTTGGTGGTGCACAAATCCCTAAGTTAACATTGAACAGTGCCCACGAACTAGTTAAGAATCATCTTTGTTCTTCTTGCACAGAAAGAAAAAAGGGCATTGAAACTACTACATTTATATGCAGCCCTTGTTATTACAAAAAGATCTATAAAATTCGAACACTGTGTTGAATGGATAAGTTTCCACCTCATACTCAGGGTCACCTAGTGAAATCAACTACGAAGTAGATCCACGAATTACCTCCTTCATGCAACAACTTGCTTATGAAAGAAAGCTGTTACCAAAAGGTGTGATACTGCTCCAATTCTTTTTACTTTTACTACAGTATTTCCTATTGGCAGGAACAAGAAGATTCATGCACTAGCCCTGCTGCCACTGTCCAGAAGCACAGCCCATGCACAAACAACTTGCTCCTACAGTGCAATGCATTTTTATTTGAAAGCAAGCATTTCAGGGCACTGGAGTAACGGCAGCTTTTCCTTTCTGTAGTCAGCTTTTAAACTGTGCAGCAGCTTTCTTCAACCTAATCACCCTGGATGTATTGGGCTACAGCCTCCAGCACATCTGGCAGAGGGATGCTGGGAATTATAATCTAACACAGGTCAAGCTCTAGGTGAAACACAACACCTGTATATCAGATCAAGGAAGGCTGCTATAGCCACTGCATTACACACACACACACACACACACACACACACACAGAGAGAGAGAGAGAGAGAGAGAGAGAGAGAGAGAGAGAGAGAGATTTTCCCACTCCCTTTGCTTTCTAACGATATCTGAAGACACAGCAAGATCTTCTGAGGTTGTACTAGCATCCTAACTGTGCCCACACTTGAGTCACCGCAAGAATCAAAAGGCAGCCATGTATATGGAAAGAAAGACATTTATGGAATATATTAAAAGATGCAAAAAATACAAACATGGAAGAAGCCTGTGCTAAAAGGCCAACATAAAATCATTGTTTTCAATCACAAGCCAAGAAAACAGCTAATTAACTAGTATGTTCAATCATGCTGTCAGATTCCACAGTTGCCCTAGTTCGTATCTTCCCAGTGGCAATGAGCCCTTGAGCAGAAGAGGCTGCTCCACTCTCTGGATGTCTGCCTCCCAGAAAGGATGAGCGGGAGTGTCCATGTGGCTGCCTGACTGCAGGCCAAGCCCACTTATCATGCGACTCCAGTAACCTTTCTGTGATCAAGTGCAGGTGTAGAGGTTGGGGCTCACACATTCTCTGAGGAGCACTTGCCTGCCCCTTCACCACACGAAGGTCATGACCTCTGGTAAGATAGGAACGGGGCAGTGGAAGCATGGAAGTGACTTCAACCTCTGCTAAATCTCTACTTGGAGCCTTTTCTTTAGCTGAATGGGAAGGTGCCTTGGACAGCAGTGTGTGGGGGTGTCAGTTCAGCTCCATGACCTCATAGTTCAGACCACATATGATGAATCTCCAGGAGCACCTTTCTTATTGCCATGAGTATTAAAAATGCACATACAACCAAGCACAACTGATGCTTCAAATACAAGGCTTTTGAAATTCAAACTTGAATACACCTTAAATGGCCTTTTAACTCAGCTATGAATTCCCTGTATGGCAACATGCAAGAGTATCTCCCACCATGCACTTTAAAAGCTGCACCTTTCATGAAAAGTATGACAGTGCTGAATGACAAGGAACATGAACACTTAACACTGACCTTCTGCTTTAAACTCTGTTCTTCCTCTCTTTTCTGAAAGCTCCTGCCCCACCATGAGGAAAGGAAAGGATGGGGAGGCTCCTATTCCCATATATGCAACAAGAAAAACATTCGATAAATGAAGCATAACCCTTCTCATTGTCCAATCTGTCCTCCAAAGGCTGCAGTACAAGTAGAACATGTGCACAGGCAAATACTGTGCCTAGGATCTGAGAATCTCAGAACTGCCCCCCCACCCCCAATCCCAAATTCATCAACATTTTCCAGCTCACCCATCAGACCCCAAACTCTTCCTTAGCATATTGGCTGTCCTCTAATCTGCAGTGCCTTCATGGCTCTTCCTGCGACTGGTTCTTCAGTAGTTGCTGCATCTTATCCATACAGATATGCATCCAACCAGGCTTCCCCAGAATCCTTGAGAGAGCTGCCGGAAAGAGAGCAGGGTGGACAATGTACTGTTTGCTTGCATAACTGCAGCTTGAAAAAAGCCATTTTCTTTGCCTGCCACCTGTCATTTCTTTTCTGCATTATTAAACAGAGGTGCCCAGAACTGGACATAGTACTCCAGGTAAGGTCTGCCTAGTGCTGAGTAAAGGAAAACTTCACATGTTTTAGAAGTGATACTTCTGTTGATGCAGCCCAATACAGCATTTGCCCCATTTGCAGCTGTATCACATTGTGGATCATGTTTAGCTTGTGATCTACAACAACCCTAAGATCCTTCTTATTTACAGTTTTGTTGAGCCAAGTATTCCCCGTCTTGTAGTGGTGTATTTGGTTTCTTGTTACTAAGTGGCAGACTTGGCATTTGTCCCTGTTAAATTTCATTCATGTTCTCTGCCCAGCATTCTAACCTACCAAGATCACCCTGTATCTTCATTCTGTCTTCAAGGGCATTTGCTATTCCTCCAAGCTTTGTGTCATCCGGAAATTTAATCATCTTTTAATTTGCTGTAAGTGTGTGAAATGGAAGCACTGAAAATTACAGTATTAATTTTAGCATGCCTGAACAGCTGCACACATAAAGTACAGGTGCTTCCTAGGGAAACTCATTATAAAAAGTTAATTACAGGTTTAACTTTACACTTGACTGGTATTGTATGCATTCCAATTGCACAATGTGACTTGTGTTAGATCACATTACCACTTTGTGCCATGTTTTTCTAATAAATGGAAAATTATAGGCACAAGATTGACAATTTTCCACATCTCTGTCCACACCCATTCCCCACTTTTTATTGGAGAGTTCACATGTCCCCACTGCATATGTTCGAAGAACAAGCCAGGGAGCTGCATGAGCAACAATAGTTGCAAGCTGTAGGAAAAGACAGCCTCTAACCCATCCCTAAATTTCTCTTTCTGGAAGCACAAACATGCAGAGACTTCCAATGGTAGACAGAAAGCTTCACTGGCTTTGTACAAAGGTTGACACTGTGAAGGAAACAGCATGTGAGAAATCCTTTTCCAGAACTGCAATTCTAAAACCTTCCTGGCATGCATGCATTGATTGACTGATTGCTAAAAGAAGTGTGTCTTGGAACTAATTAGATCACTCATGTTTTGAACCAGAATCCTGAAGTGTCTTCCACCTTCTGCAAAGATCTGCCCACCTATTAAAGTAATCAATCAGTCAAGTAATTATTAAAGCAATCAGAAAGCCTGTTTCATGTCCTACAACCTTCAGAAGTACAGCTGGTGATTATGAGGGCCAGTTCCATATAAGCTGCAAGAGGGAAACAAATGGAAGTGTCTGGCTCGGATACAGAAGGCAAAGTTCTGCTAAAGCCTTTTTTGCTGTTTGATGTAGCAGTGTGGGGAAAAGGAACTGGGAGAGGTTCAGAACAGTATTGTGTGACTAGCAGCCTGCTCATACAATTGGACTTTTCCAGGCTGTTCTATCCCCTGCAGATCCCCCATGTGTCCTCAAATCTACTCTGGTCTCCCAACCCTGCAGAGCATGCAGGGAGCAGAGAAGACAAATCACACCTGCCCATGGTCTGCTTTCTGCTAGCACAGCACTACCTTTGGATATGGAGAATTATGCCTGTACTTTCAGTTGCATCCAACTGAAACCAACATGGCCCCCCTTCAGCCTTAGTTCAATTTGTGGTATGTGCCCCATTCACTGTCAAATACTGACCAGGACTCCAGTCTATCTTGCAGTTTCTTCCACCTACTCATGATTTCTTGCTGGGCTTCTCATTCTTAATATTCCTGTCATACTTACTGCAAAATGTCTGCAAAGGCCGTGAGCAGGGGCTTGCTTTGGTAGTCAATGCCATGCTTGGCACAGAGGGATTTCACAAGGGGGGCCACCTTCCAGAAGTTGTGCCGAGGCATTGTGGGGAAAAGGCTGTGGAAAGAGAAAAAGATGGAGGCTTCCTTGGATCATGATGCTCTCTCTTTAGAACTCCCACCCAACTTACACTAATACATCTGTCCTATGAAATCACGGAAGTAATCCAAAGGCTTCCATTGCCCCAAATCTCTCACTTACTGGTGCTCAATTTGGAAATTCAGATGTCCAGTGAACCAGTCATTGAAGGGGGATTGATGCACATTGCATGTTGCTTGGAGCTGTGTGAAAATAAGAAAGGATGGGGAGCAACATCGCTAGCACCATCTGGATCTTACTGGAGAAATGCTGCACCTTGTTCAACATGGGAAATGCAACAGCTGATATTCCACCATTCCAGATTGAGATGACAGACCGCCCCCCCACCACCACACACTTTGCTTTATGCCACGTTAGACCACCCCATCTGGCTCAGTGTTGTCTACCAACTGGCAGCAGTTCTCCAGGGTTTCAGACAGGGTCTTCTCCAGCCCTACTCTGAGATGCTGAAAACTGAACCTGGGACAGCCTGCATGAAAAACAGGGGCTCAGTTGCTGAGCAATATGACCCTTTGTGCTTCTTGACAGTTTCTGTCGTTTAGAGGTAGTGGCAGTCAGGTAGTGGTACCCCCATCTCAATTCACAATTTGTCCAGTCTTTGTGGGCTTCCTGAAATCAGCTGTCCAGGAAAACTGCATGGTAGGAGGAACAAGGAGGCAGAGATGGCCTCCCCTCTGAACAGGATGCCCACAAGCCTCCAAGTTTGGAGGTTTATGGCCATCCTGGCTGAACTGTGTCTTACACTGTGAAGCTAGAGTGGAAAAACTAACAGCAGGAAAATTCTGTCAGGATACTGATTTTTCAATGCCGTATGAAAATCTCTTCATTTTAGCAGCGTTTAAAATTGGCCAATGCCAATTTTATTCCCTTTAACTCTGCCGGGATTATAATTTTCTTTTAATCTGATTCCGTTTTTATGATTTTTATGTTGGTTGCTTTAAAATTTTGCTGTAAGCCACCTTGGCTATTTCTATTCCAAGAGAGAGGTAGGAGGTAAATGTTGAAACAAATGCATAAATATGGTGCAGCTTCATCCAAAGTTCCCATGGTTACAGTCGGCAAGAAAGATTCTGACAATGGTGCTGAGCCTTTGTGAAAGAAGCAGTGATGCATGTGTGCATGTGCAACTTGCTCATTTGTATGCTGCCTTGTGATCATTGCGAGAGGAAGAAAGGTAGAGTATAAATGTAATGTAATAGCAGCAGTACCAGTAGCTCACAGCCTGCCAAACTGTGAAAGTTCGATCCCGCCACAATTGTCAGATTATGAATCAGCTTTCATTCATTCATTCATTCATTCATTCAAAGCTTTTCTACCCCATCCCCTACAAACGTCTTGGGATGGCTTACAATAAATATAAGCATAGGTGTCTGCTATAAACCTCAGAAATCAATCCTTTGAACAATAGGAGGCAGTCATACCTGAGTAGACACCCAATCCATATTTTTATCATAATCAATGTTCATTGGGATGTGGTTCATTTGTGAAACCCAAGTAAACCAGTTTGACTCAAGGAATCTGTAGAATGAAATACAGAAACAGTGATGTTACAAAATCAACACATCACCTTGGCACTTAACTTGGAGTATTAGCACAGGGTCCACAGGGTAAAATGAAGTACATAAAATTAACTTGGGACAATGTTAGTGTTGTGTGTTAAATGAATGTTGGAATAAAAATGATAAAACAGGACATTAGAAAAAATTTCCTGAAAATGCAGATCATTTGGAAGCCACAGTTACTTTGAATTTAGTTGTGCAGGGTGCTTGCAGATCTCTCTGCTGGCCTGCATCAGGGAAATCGGATGTGCACTTCAGGTTACAGTGCTAGCTCTGGAAATTAAAACATTTATTCATTTCAGCATTTATTCATTTGGGAACGAAGTATGCAACTCAGTAGTCACACTTGGTAGAGAGACTGCTGAGAAGTAACTGTCCCAGCCAAAAGAAGGAAACAATCTGGGAGGAGCTGCAGAGGCCAATACCAAGACAAAAGTCCTTGTTCATGTGTTCCCTGCCTTGCCTGGGTGCTGGAAGGATTTAATCCGTTCTTAGATTATCTCCTCATGCCAAACAGGGAACTAAAGCATGCAAATTGCAAGAAGACAGACTTTGACAGAATACCGGGAGGAGCTTTCCAATGGTAGGAGTTGTTCAGCAGTGAAAAAGAGACTGCCTGATGGCTGGTGGGCTCTCTTTGTTGAGGTATTTAGGCAGAAATAGGATGGCCATCTGCCAGGGATGCTAGAGTTGCAGCCTACATTGAACAAAGGGTTGGACAAGATGGTCTCCAAATTTCCCTTTTAGAGCAATGGCCCAACTCTGATGTTTATTTAGCATAAATATGCAGGGTTGGTCCCACTTCTCTCAAAATACAGCATTGCAAGATAAGTATTTCAGACTTTGAATCTGGACTGGAAGAAGGGTTGGTATGCTTAGCTGAAATACCGTGATTAACAAGCTTTGAGATAAGCCAAGCAGCTGGTGAGAACCAGACCACCTGTGGTTTCAAGGAGACTTCGTGGAACTGGGGGGCAGAGTATCAGAGGAGGACAAGTGTGACTTTTTCAGCTCTATGCTCTGAAGTTCAAGTCATATTATCGGACCTTGAGTAACACCTGGTGTTCCCACTGCCAGGTCCACAAGCAGGGCAAGCCTCACTGAGGGTGGAGACAACTGCATTTGGTGGGGAAGGGAGGAGGAGAGTTCATTTTGAAAACTCCTGGTATGGGGCTTGAACTGACTCCACAAATAAAGGGTCTTAACTTGATGGATGCTTCTTGCACTTATATTACAAAGGCAGGCCAGGCTAGCCATTTTTAACATAATAAAGATTGCAGCTAGAGGCCTCTGGGAAGGGCTCTGATTTGCTGGGAAGGGAAAAGTTACTGAGAGAAAGAGTTACTGGCCCAGGACAACACTGTTAATCCAGCCTCTCAGTATGCCTTCTAAATTACACACAAGAAAGACTCCAGTATCATAGTTGAAAAATACCTTTGAAACCTTAGTCCTGCACTCCGAAAAATGCACAATCATTTTACATGATAGAAGAGTTTAACCTAAAGTGACTGGAAGACTCAAAGTCAAATATATTCAAAGTAAGTTGTAATTCCTAAAGACAAACTCTTAGGATATTTGAGATTCAATACATAGGAGTCCAACAGCTGGATGACACTACAACCATTTTTAACATTACCTGCTGAGCCAGTAGTATGCCATAAAACACTTAAATCCCATAAGTGGAATATAGAGTAGACAGACTCGGATGTTGTAGGACACGATCAAAGCTAAGTCCTGTTAAGGGAGAGAAAGAAAGGATAACCTCTACTACAAGTAGTGCAGCGCCACACAAAATGGCTCCCTGGAGATGTACTCTTTCAAATAATGGAAAGCACACTTACCATCCACTCTTTGCGTTTGATTGAAGAATAGAATATGGTTAACTGAAAAAAGGGAACTAGCAAAGCTGGAGCTGCAACTATTGAAGAAAGAAAAGAAGCAAACAGGATTCATTTGGAACACATATAAATGAAATGCTTTAGCTTAGCCAGAGACTTCTTTGGTCACCAAAGTCCACTCTTTTTCTCAGTATGGTAAACTGCCTATTTTATACTCCCTTCTCCCTGATGCAGTTGCACAGACTCAGCATCTTATGTTTCTCATTTTCTAAAACAACTACGCTTCTCACGTTACTATTTGTCTCTTCTTCCACCTTGCCTTCTTATTCCCAGATTCATGCACCTACACTGTTAAGTCTGAATTTCACGCTCCATAACTACATCCAATATAATGTGTGTTCACTTCCACCTCAGCAACAAGCGTTTCCTTTCCCCCTCCTTTCCTTCTGCATGTCCCTGCACTCAAGTCTGCTCTACTGCATTCCCTCAACTTTCTGCCAGAGAGAAGGGGAAATCTGTCTGCCAGCAGCATCCTTTCTGCTTGATGCAACAGCATAATTATATCCAAGCACACAATTTGCAGTTATCTTAAAGCCTTTGATTTTTCCAAATTCAGCCACTAGGCTCCTATGATCCCTTTGTAACGTAGGAAATACTGGGTCATGAGGCGTATGCGATACATAGGAACTTGGTTGTATTTCCTATTAACAGAGATACTTACTGAAGAAGTACTTATGTTGATGGTTGTAAGGCATGAACTTCTTTTTCTGCATCCCAAGCTGTGAAGAAGATACCATCAGCAACTCATCCAGTTTACAGTTACCCACGCCATCACTTATCATACCTCTTTTACTCTCTCAGTGAGAGCTGTTACACTCCTGCAGGTTTCTTGCTCCTGTTATATGTATTTACTCCTCTGTCTCTCTGGGCTTAAACTGATTAGAGCTCATAACCAGTGCTGGATGAGTACGTTCTGAAAATATAGCTCCTGTATGCTCTGGTCAGAGAGGTGGCTGATTAGGAGTTTCTGTCCCCAGAAAGTTTGATTTATTTTATTTGTAGTCTATCTTACTGTCCACCAGTGCTTGCCATGCTCTGTCTAGATCAAAAGGACTGCTCTACTCCACTGACCCCATATATCCTTCTGTGGTCTCTGATTATGCAGTGTGAGCAATGTGACTGCAAGAGCCAGTGGGCTCTCACAGGATTATCCCTGACCAGGGCCCAGCATCTCAGTGTTCTGGGCCTTGTTCTCCCTGTGGACAAGATGAGGATAAGAGAACTAAAACTGAAGCCAGACAAGGTTGAAGGGAGGGCGAGCTTGCCTGCAGATGCACTCTTAGGATGCCTGGGAAGTCACTGCAATGCTAACACTATCTGCATAATAATTATATGGGCTGCTAACTTTTAAAAAAATCAAAGCATGGTTTTCCTTCAATGCATTTTATTATGTTTGCTGGAAGTTTTAACTCACAAGCTTAGCTTTAGAATGAAACCAAGATGATCTGAATCTTGATATGTACCTTCTTGAGAGTCCTTTGCTTGGGGTCACAAAGTCACCCAAACCAGTCATTCCGGTGATGCTTCTGGGGAGACTTTGTCACCCCAAGCATTTTCTTTTATTTAAAAAAAAACTTGTAAAAAGTAGGAAGCTGAAACTTTTTAGATTGAGACTTTATGACAATGTCCTAAAGACTGCGCCAGTAGGACTACTCATGTGTAATTCTCACAGTACAGAATGTGCCTGGACTACTAGTCACCCCATAATCCAAAATGACAAAGAACGGGGGTGAGGTGGGAAGGAGAATTTAAAAAAAAGATCGTTCCTCCTTGCACTGTTTCTCTTTTGAAATGTATTGCCAAAGATGCCTCAGCTTACATGATTGGTTCATGTTAATGATCTCATACTGATAAAATAGCTTATTCTCAGCTCAGAATTATTTGGGGCTGCTCTTCCTAAACAGTAATATGTTCAGTAATATGTACTCTTCAAATGTACCTCTGTAGCCAGTTTCTTCCCCAAAGCAAACACAACGGGGTGCATGTTGAGATCAGGGTCTTTGCGAAAGCAGTTAGGTTTGGCGTGATGCTGGAAATGTAGATAATTCCACCAATGAGCTGGCATTCCCTACAGGAAAAGAGAACACAGGAGTGACAACAGAAGCATCCAAAGAACTATGCATCGAAAGGGGAATGGATTTCTTAAGGCAAAGGAAACTTACTTTCACTAGACCCATTAAAATTTTGTGAATCACATGATTCCACTTGGTTGTGCTGAAGACTGAAAGGTGCCCCAAGTCATGCTGAAGCCAGGACATTTGGTTCTGTAAGACAAAAATATGATCTTTTCATAGGGGCATAGGAATAGCTGTCTTAAGTACAGGTTAGGTGACAAGTGGCTGGAGAGCAGCACTTGTGAAAGGGACCTCGGGGTACTGGTTGACTGCAGGCTAAACATGAGTCAGCAGTGTGATGCAGTGGTCAAGAGGGCGAACCCCACTCTTGGTTGCATAGCCAGAAGTGTGGCTTCTAGATCAAAAGAGGTATTACTACCACTCTATACAACTCTGGTGCGCCCGCAACTGGAGTATTGTGCTCAGTTTTGAGCCCCTCATTATAGAAAGGATATAGCCAGGTTAGAGTCAGTGCAGCGTAGGGCCACAAGGTTGGTGGCCGGTTTGCAGGGGATGGGGTATGAGGTGAGACTGAGGGAACTGGGTCTCTTCAGCCTGGAGGAGACTCAGAGGGGATATGTTGGCGACATACAGGTATGTG